CGCACTGGCGCGGAGCAAAAAGTCCCATTAATTTACGCGCCAAGGTGTTGTTGATCTCGACGCGTTGAAACAATTCAGAGCGAGCGCCGCGTCGCGTCGCGTTCATTATTCTCGAAGGAAGGATATGGATGTCGAGTGGTTTGTTGGTTGACCATCCCGCATGCAAGCGCAGCAAAAGCAGCAGCAGCAGGAAGACAACACAGACTGCCTATTGGCGCATCAGAGCCGCCCGACATTTTCATTCCTGAACAACATCATGATTTCCACCACCTTGGCTGCTGCTTCTTGAGGTCTACTCCTCGTCCGACACCCATTCGCGATACCTCACGTCTCTATGCGTGCCGCATCACTGCACGATCCTACGCCGCTCACCTTGCCATCTCTGCAGCATTGCCAATCGAGGTGATGGTGACCAAGATGAGCCGAAAGCGTGCTCGCACAGAGCTCGTAGCTTCCCGATCTTCCGACTCGGGTATTGCCTCCCTTTCCCATTCCCAATCCGACTCGCTTCTGACTCTCGACTCCCAGCCAGACCCTTCTTCATCCTCCGCACCTGCTTCCCACGTGCCCAGCATCTCTTACGACCGACCTCAGCTCGATACGTACACTTGGAGATCGTCTTTGCCGAAAAGATGCAAGGAGGAACCTTGTGTGCTTGGAGTGGATGAGGCTGGCAGGGGACCCGTCTTGGGTCCGCTAGTCTACGGCATCGCGTACTGCCCTTTGGCTTTCCACGATTTGCAGCATGGTGGCCTGAAGGACGTGGGCTTTGCGGGTGAGCGATGCACAAATCTGCTCCGAGACGCTTGATGAGGCGCTCAAACCCATGACCCGCTCGCAGACTCGAAAGCGTTGACGGCGGAGCGCAGGGACGCCCTTTTGAATTCTTTGCAAGCTTTTCCGGATACGCTCGGTTGGGCCGTCAGGAGCATGTCGCCGCAGGACATCAGTTCGGGTATGCTGCGGAGGAGGCCTGTCAATCTCAACGCTCAGAGTCTTGCTGCTACGATGGAACTCATTCAGGGCACGCTCGATGCAGGCGTTAATGTGGTACACGTGAGTGGCTGATCTGTCGCTGTCTTTGAGCGACGAGAGTCCTTTGGGCTCACCCTCGCATCGCATACATGCACCAGGTCTACGTCGATACCGTGGGAGATCCCAAGTCATATCAACGACAGCTATCTTCTGCCTTTCCCAAACACATCCAATGGACCGTGACTTCGAAAGCAGACGCACTCTTCGAGATCGTGGGTGCAGCATCGATCGCTGCAAAAGTGACGCGAGACGCCGCTTTGGACGCCTGGCTTTACGCCGAGAAGGGCATGAACGTGCGCGAGCCTTCTCGACAAGCCACAGAGTCTCGCGAGAAATATCTGCGTGATCATTGGGAGACAGGAAGCGGGTATCCTGGTGATCCAAAGACTGTCGCTTTCCTCAACAGGACGATGGACCCGGTCTTTGGATATCCCGGAATTGTACGTTTTAGCTGGGCGACGGTCAAGACGTTGATGGAGGACAGGGTGCCGTTGAAGCGCAACAGGAATGGAGAAGCTGCCACAAATTCTGACACAGGCAGGGAGAGGTCATGGGACACCTGTACCATCAGACCTGCTGCCGGATGCAGAAGAGCGTACACCATCAAATGGAACGACGAACCTCTGACCATCAACAAATTTTTCAGCGCGAAACCCAAAGCTGTCGCCGTCTCGGGTGCGAGCAGAGCTGCACAGAACATCGCGGCTGGTGATGAGGCGGACAAGGCCAGATCGAAGCTTGCGAGGGAGCTGGGCTTGCAGAGCGTTGGTGGCCTCTGAGAGGGTTCGTGTTGCCGCGATGAGAAGGTCGTACCATTGCCGTCATCTATTCCACGGTGCTCTTTGGTGTTAAGGCGCGATCGTCTCGAAGACTAAGGTTGCGCATCGAGCATCCATTGACTTCAGCCATGTACACTTCTCAAGTGGGGCCGCGCCATGGTAAGACTACGTCTGCCTGTTGTCCGAAAGGCCTCGAGGTCCTCGAGATCGCAACGCGAAGGCGGAGCGATGCTGATAGGATGGTGCAATGGCTGCTCTTGAATTCGCAGCCAGATAGTCCTTCAAATCAAAAAGAGTCTACTTTGCGGGGTGATGGAGGCGGACCTAAAGAAAAATCGTCGCAGTCTGAATTCAAGGCAGTGCCAGTCAAACGTCTGCGATCAGGATCATGCATCAAACAATTGATGGCCAGACGCGTTGCTATCCAATTTTGACCTGGTGACTTTTGCACGACTCTCATCGGGCTCTCAAATGCCAGATCGCGACCTTGGCTCGAAGGCTGTGCAACCATTCGTGATTCGTGAACGAGTCCAGCAGATTGACTGACTCAAACGCAGCAGGCGCCATGCACACTCAAACAACTCAAAATACTAGTAGGGGGTTTCATAATTACTCCAAATTGATTTCATTTCTGGTAGTAGAAATGATTTTAGAGTTTAATTTCTGCAGGGTTTTAGCATAGTGCTCAGGTGCCTCAAAATTAACCTTGCATAAATCATTTTTGATTTCACCAAAAGCAGCTCCAGACCAGCTTTTGGTGCTCATTTTCGATAAATTATGCACAGTTATGCACATTTATGCATGAACATGCAGCCGCGCGCACCTCTGAATACATCTGTCTGCGGCCCTGCACGCGTTTTTGTATTGACATTAGCATATCTCTGATCTTGAGAATCTAACTAATCTGGGGGGAGAATGTAGTTCATTTGGGGGTGTTCAAGCTAAAATTGAAATCTTGCTTAACACTGAGGTGCATTAAAACAATAATGAAACCCCCTAGTACAGATCTGCTAGTCGCAAGAGAGGCTCCGGGGGCAGGATGAGGGACGAAGGGGTGCAAAGAGTCGCTCGCGAAGCCAAGCATTCATCGAGTTGATGCGCATGAAAGCATTCTGTGCATCCTTTCTGATCATCTCATCCTGCAAGCTATGTGCTCCTCGGCCTTCGATGCTCGCTCGGTGCAATACCCACGAGCCTTGGGGGTAATTGTCGTCTATTGTCGCCTGTCGTCGGTAGAAGAACAAATGCGGAATTCCTGCTGCATATTGTGCGAGCGAGAAAATCGCTCGTCGCGCTTTTTGCAGCAAATTG